TTCTTCTTCTACCTCTTGAATTTAATAGGAAACTATTAAAATAATGCCAAATAAAATGAAAGGAAGATGTGACTGTTTCTAACAACCAACTAACTTGCAGTGTGCTTGGTATTACAAGGACCTGAGCAAATTACTTATGTAGAGTCCCTTGGGCTGCAAGGAGATCAAACCAAGTCCATCCTAAAGGAAATCAGTTCTGAGTATTCACTGGGAGGACTGAGCCTGAAGCTGAAACTTCCAATACTTTGGCCACCTGACGTGAAGAACTGACTCATAGGAAAAGACCCTGATCCTGGGAAAGACTGAAGGCAGAAGGAGAAGGAGATGGCAGAGGATAAGATGGTTGGATGGCATCACCGACTTGATGGACATGAGTTTGAGAAAGCTCTGGGAGTTGGTGATGGACAGGGAAGCCTGGTGTACTGCAGTCCGTGGGGTGGCAAAGAGTCAGACACGACTGAGAGACTAAACTGAACCGAACGGAAACATCTTTACCTGTAGCCGATGATGCCTCACAGACAAATCACAGCAGAAGTTAGAGGGACAGTATTGGATGGGCAAATATCATCACGTGAATATTTGGGGAAGATAATGAGATTCCTTTACTTGTGCAAGATAAAAATATATTTTCCTTATAAGCTAGACTTCATGCTCTTTAATTGAATAAAATGAAGTTTTTTTGTGAAAATTTCTTATTTATAACCAAATAGTTATCTGCAAATATTTAGCTTTTAGCAAAAGCTGTATGATGTTATTTTAAGAAGACAAAGAGTTTTATAACCTACACTACGAGCCTATAACAAAGAAGGGCCAAGTTACAGGAACTAACTTTTTCAGAGAGGAAAAAAGCTTCAAAAGATAATAATAAAGATATGCAGATACGAACAGCCTAAAAGAATTACTCACATGGAATAAATATTAAATTTGCCTGGTAGGTTTAGAGAGTACGTTATGTTGTAACTCATGATATAAAGAAATAAAAATGCAAGCAATACATTCAAAATAGAATTCTTCCATTTTTTTCCAAGAAGTAAACTGACAAAGTTTTTTAAAGGCTACACAGAAATATAAGTGGCCTCATGTGGAGTAAATATCATTTCTATTGTGAGTATGCAAATATGTGTGAGAATGTAACTCAAAATTATTAGTCAAGCATGTAGGGGTGACAGGATAACAGTGTACATGCCATCAGGAAGAAAAAATGAAATAGTTTTAACTACTGAGTGTTAAAAAAAACAACCCTTGAAAGCAACAATACCAGGAAAGCTGAGAGAAAGGGCTAAAACGGTCCTTACAATTTGTTTTGTTTGTAAATCTGTCCTTGATAGGCTTCAACAGAGTTAAATGAAGAGATCTGGAAGATTCCTGGCTAATTTGAACATAATAAGTAGTCAGTCTACATAATTCATGTCCAAATACGGATAATTCTTTGGCTCAGATGTTCTCGTTTGGACTGTTACATAAGACAAATTACCTAGCTTTGTAACTATCTACTTTAGTATGTGATACACAGACAGGGTTTAGGGGAAAATGGCTATATTTCTAGACAAAAACTGAATTAGAGAAGTAATAAAATATTAATATAAAGCTATCTATTTCAAATTACAAACTGGATATATATACTTGAAGCCACATTGGGAATAATGGCATAAAAAACAAAATAGTGATAATAGTAACATGCCCTTTTTTTTTTTTTAAGATGCTATAATCCTATGAAAGGTTTTAACAGCTTTCCTAGAAAATTCATTTTACGTGGTAGCTGATTTTACAACTCACCACAAGATAAATTTCCATAATATGTCTTCAAATAAGTACCAATTCCAAATTAATTGAGTATCAGGAAAATTAGTGTTATATATCTGCCTAGGGAATAAAATAGATAGTAAAGCAAAGATTAAAATGATGTGAAAAAATAAAAACTATGCTTTTGAGTCTTTCACATTAATAAAGATCTCAAATGTGAACTGATGATTAGTAACTTAAATTACAAAGACAATTGTCTTAGCACTGAAAACTTATTTTAATTAGTCTTTAGTATCATAAGTATATTTTTTATGTAACATGATAACATGATTTTGCCTATTTTTTTTTTTTGCTTCTGAATACATCTCATCAGTTCAGTTCAGTCACTCAGTTGTGTTCGACTCTCTGCGACTCCATGAACCATAGCATGCCAGGCCTCACTGTCCATCACCAACTCCCGGAGTCCACCCAAACCCATGTCCATTGAGTCGGTGATGCTATCCAACCATCTCATCCTCTGTCGTCCCCTTCTCCTCCTGCCCTCAATCTTTCCCAGCATCAGGGTCTTTTCCAATGAGTCAGCTCTTCGCATCAGGTGGCCAAAGATTGGGAGTTTCAGCTTCAACATCAGTCCTTGCAATGAACACCCAGGACTGATCTCCTTTAGGATGGATCTGGTTGGATCTCCTTGCAGTCCAAGGGACTCTCAAGAGTCTTCTCCAACACCACAGTTCAAAAGCATCAATTCTTTTGCGCTCAGCTTTCTTTATAGTCCAACTCTCACATCCATATATGTCCAAAATGCAGTACTTGGATGCAAACTCAAAAACAACAGAATGACCTCTGTTTGTTTCCAAGGCAAACCATTCAATATCACGGTAATCCAAGTCTATGCCCCAACCAGTAACGCTGAAGAGGCTGAAGTTGAACAGTTCTATGAATACATCTAATTTCCCCTTAAAAATATTCGAAGTCTAACATCAAATAGTCTCTCAACTACAAGTTGCAAACTTCATGCATAATAAGTAATGTAATTATTACTAATTTGTCCACCATTATTTATAGCATGACAGTATATTTTCCTTAGGTACAATAGTGTTACTCTAAGAATACTACATTCTAAAATGATGCAACTAATAGTAAGACTGTCTAAATCAACTGATTTTTCTTCAAAGACTATATGTAAATAACCATTTATAATATGTAATCTAATTTTCCATTGACTTATATAATTAATAAATGGAAGACATAATCCTACAGAAAAGTAACTTACGAAAATCCCCCAAACAAACCAATTTGATAAAAAAAGGACCAAGACAAGGTATAGAACTTGTTTAAACATAGCCCAGCACTTTTGTTGGTCATCTGTATTTTAGTTTGTATCTTGTTATTGCATCTAACAGCAAAGCCTGCATGATATAGAGGTCTTCTGCCCTTCTCTCTGGCTGCCCACTCTTTATAGGCTCTGAATAAAGGTGGAGCAGGGCAGGTGTTAGCAATGAGATGGTCACACTACAGACTCAAGCCATCTTCTGACGGTCTTGGCACAGGGCTGACCAGAGAGCTATGTCAATCACAGCTTTGAAAATGCATAATAAATTAATTTTTAATTTCATGTGGTTGGTAACTAGTACATGTCTGCATAATAAATGGTGAAGGATGTCAGAAGTTGAGTAGTTAGTAGCAAAAGAAAGCATATAAAGGAAAGACAAATTGAAATATTCAGAACTATATGCTTCATTTTCTCCAAAAGCTCTATTGCTTCTTCTCAAGGCTCATCCTTCATTATAGGTGGAGAGGTATCTTCCTAATGTGGTGTTATTTAAAGGGTAGTTTCCACATAATACTTCTCTCAAAGTTTCCAGAGAACTGTCACTTCCCATCTGCCATAAAACTGCTACCATCACAGTAATTCTTTTGACTCAGGTAAATGCACATGGGAAGGGGATGGGACTATCCAGTTAACAAAATGGTATGATTACTAGATTAACCAGTTAATACTGTAGAAGAATTGACAGTTGGGATGGAAGCAATAAAGATGCTGAAAACAAATATTCATTTTACAGTTTACAGGTTAATTTTATTCAGGGTGAAAGGGACAAGTTTGTTCCCAACACATTTTAAATGTACCATTTATTCATTTATGCATAAAGCAGTTTGCAGTAGGTTTATGTTTCGTTTGACTAACAGTTTCATCACACTCAGAAGCAAGAATGATATAAAAAAGGATTTCCCCATGCACTCTTGCTAGAGAAACTCATTAAAAGTTGGAAAAAATCATACTGTCTGAACAATCTCACCATATTCTCAACTGGTTCTGAAGGTAGGAATTACGGACTTACATATTTCCTCTTGTCCAAAGGGGTATTCTTAATCTGATACAGCTGTTAAAAATAAGTTTGTAAGCATACAAACATGTTTTCCTAATTATTCCTATAATTTCTACATAAAATTTGAATAATTTCACTAAACCATAACTTCACTATAATCTGCTTTTAAAATAATTATTTTTTCTAGAAAATATCAATGCGTATCAATAAAGAACAATGCTAAAGAAATTTCACAAATTCATTTTCTATGGAGAAAAAGAGGTATAATATATTAAGTTTTAAACAAATGTATCAAACTTCAGTTTGGTATTTCACAAGGTATTAAAAACTTTTTATGAATTTATTGATTTATGAGATACATTTGTATTCTAAATAATTGCAAATAGAAAACCTCCTGTAACGCAAGTCCCAGCAGTAATCCATGATTCATTACTGCAACTTTAATTGGCACAACTCTTGAAATTCTGGGACCATATGGAAAATAATGAGTCCTAATAGGTCTAAGGTGAGAAGATGGCAGGGGAGTAAGGAAGGCAGGAAACTGTCAATTCAGAATGCTTAGCAACTGCAGCATAATTTCCCCAGAGATGGAGAACAATGTGTTCTCAGTGTTTTACTGGTCATGCTATCATATAACTAAACTGCGTATTATTTCTCATTCTGTGAGACAAAGATTAAAATGAAAAAACAAAATCAAACCAAAAACTGGTTTCCATAATTAAAAATGAAATTGGCTGACTGTTAATAAAAAAGGCAACAATTTATAGAGTTACCATAACAACCTGAGGCAACTGTTGACTGACACTGCAATCTGCTGCATTTTTATAAATAGCAGTTGATTTCCCCTCTTTCAACTAGTTTTAGTGTTTAGTTGGAGCTAATAGAACAACTATGCTTTACAACTATTTCCCTCGTCAGGCAGCATACCTCTTCGCTGCTGTCACCACCGTAAAAGTCTTCCTCTGTTTGGCTGTCACTCCTTGTCACACTGGTATCTTCCTTTAGATCCAAAGTAAACAGGCACCCTTCTGGGGATATACTCTGAGTCCTTCCATGAGGTGCTGATCGTGGTCTGGATGAAAAAGTGAAAACATCCTTTGGAACAATCTGGGTTTCCTCTGTCTGTTGATCATGTTCACTTTCCTTGCTGGCTTCTAGGCACAGGCATGAAGTATGGCACGAATCTTCACGCAGAAGCAGAGACTGTGTGGTAGAGGCCAAATAGGGCATGTCATCGCCATTTTCGGGAAATATCCACTCATCTGACAATTGCAGAAGATGACAGAAGTTAGAGTAGCGTTCCGTAAGTGTTATATTAGGCAGGTAGTTAAATTAACATTTCTTGTTGCTGAAACAGGTTTATCAAATAATGCAAAAGCCAAGGAAGGTAATTTATCCCCCATCTTGTAACCTGCTAAACTTTTAACCCACAGTTAGTGCTTAGAGCTATGGGCAACTCATTTGCACTTATTTCCTCTCCATCTGAGTTGAAACACTGGCCAGGAAATTTGAAAGTCTGAAATAATTATCACCTAATCTTGCAGCAAGTTCTTCATAGCACAGTCTCATTAATTTGATAATCCAGAGTGGGGGAATCTTCCAAATTTAAAAGGGTCTGAGTTCAGGAGGACAGAGTACTTAAGCTCTTTAAATAAAATGTCTGGGCCTTGTTCAGATTACAAAACTGCAGGAGGCGAAAAAAAAAAAAACTACAAAAAGCTGACAGTCTTTCCCCCTCCACTCTGCTAATTGGAATAAGACAATTCATAAATTAAACTGAGAATATCTGTCAAGTAATAGTAAGTCCACAGAAATATTTGTTAGTGTGACTGGTGAATTCTGCTGCTGAAAAGGACCTTTGGGTTTAATTTTAATTTTAGGAGAGAGTGTTTTGTTATGAAAGTCTTTTCTGAACATTTTTGTTTTCTTTAAAAATACTATATACCACCACTAAGATATACTGTCATCAAAACTTTAAAAAAATTTATCTTTTACTCAATATTGGGATAGATCTTATAATTTCATGACCACAAAAACCTTGAAAAAAATTTTCTATAAAAAGCATTATTAAAAGCAGGCTTACTTTCTTCTTTAGAATGACATCAGGAAAAGCTGAGCATTTTCTCAACTGAATCTGTCGTTTTTTTAAAAAAATTTTTTGCTACACTTATTTTTTGTCAATGGTCAAAATCTTACAAGAACTGCGTTCTGCAGAACCACAATGCAAACATGGTAATTTTATTCCTGATTCTTGAATCATATTATGTTTATCATATCATAAGAAGAATATCCAAGAGCTAAGACTGGCTAACTTGAAATTTCAAAGCTGCTACTAAAAAATAAAAAGCAACAAACAAAAAGGCCTTTAATAAAAATTAAGTTGATGGCACACATAAAATTGTATTCTTCTCAAGTGAATTCATCTGTTTCTTAACTTATGACTATGATTATATAACATAACTTGCCTATAAAAGGGCTATAAATATGCATTTCTTAGATAAAATCTAGTAAGGACAAGGCTTTCCCATTTTCTATAGGTAAATGGACAATAGCAGGTTGAATCTACTTCATCCGACCACGTTCACAGCAAATGTGGAGAGCCCTGAGTCAGTGTAGCTGTGAGTGATAGTCGTTCAGTCAGGTCCAACTCTTTGCGACCCCATGGACTATAGCCCGCCAGGCTCCTTTGTCTGTGGAATTCTCCAGGCAAGAATACTGCAGTAGGTTGCCATTTCCTTCTGTGGTGGATGAAATTAATAGATTCACTGGCTTGTCCTCTTCTGGAGAACAAACTCTCTGCTTGGTGCTAAGTGCCTAGCAGGTGCTTTGTAAACACGGTAAATGCTTTAGTAAATGTTGAGTAAGGTTACAAAAACCAGTGTGTTTTGTTATGTACAGAAGTATGTAAAGAAAATGGGAGGAAAAGATCTTGGGAATCTACATTAGGTAATTAAACAACTTGTATGACCTAGCACCAAACATATTATTAACTGTCAAAAAAGTCAAAGTAAAAGAAGTGTTTTTACACCAAAAGAACTCTAATTATCTCACTACCAAATGCTTTTTTGGAATTTGCAGTTTTACCTCAAGTATTTCCATATCAATTGTAATGAATAATTTGGTATGTTTTCTTAGGAAAATATGTAAATTACTGTGTAATCACAATATTGCAGCAAACAAGATAAATGCAAGAATGATCACCTAAACATCTAATTAGTTTTTCTACACAGTCAGATTTATGCTAGAGACACTAATTGCGCCTAACATTTTAATGAAGGTTTCAACACTGCATAAATAAGACTGACAAACTACAAACAATTTTCATTTATTTTCTTTTTTCCCTAGCTCAAAAACAATTTGCTTTTGTAAAAGTACCACACACCTGCTAGGCAAGATATGTTGATGGGCTCAATGCTCTATACTCCAACATCTCCATTATAAAGAGGACTGGAGAATTGCAACAATAGATAATCTCTGGGGAGGGTGACGATGTCATAGATAATCTTTGGGGAGGGTGAAGATGTCATGTGAAAACTTCACAGAGTTTTAAACTTTCATTCTGAACACGGTAACTTGTGCATTAAAATTTGAAAATAAAAATAGTCTTTCATCTATTAAAGTCTGACATAAAACTGAGTTAAAAAGAATTTTAAAGAATGATAGATTATAGGAAATGTCTGTATCATGACTTTTCAAAATGCCCAGGCTTGAAATATTTAACATATCCATATATTATTAACTGTTAGAAATTATGGTATAATAAAGATGCTAACCTGCTTGATCAGGAGACTGCGGTACTGGAGAGCTGGGGTTCAATGTCTCTGCTCTTTGCTGGGACATAGTGGTGAGGACAGTTGCTGCTTTATGTTCATCATTCCTGTTATCTTCTGAATTGCCTTTAATGGAATAAATATTTTCTTCTATATTACTTCTTTTTACATATATAAATTAATTTTTGAAAAATGGCATTTGGTATACTTTTCTATATGACTATTAAAAAGAAAGTTTGATGTGACAATACAGATTATATGCATTTTTTTTCCCAGTGGGATATTTTAAGATGAACCCAGCTGCATTTTTTGTAGAGGTTCATCTTAAAATTCCTTGATATTTGCATGGGGACATTTTAAATTTAAGTTTTATGATATGTGATAAAAGGAATTCCAAAACCCATATAATTTTTAAAAGGTCCTATATTTTTTCCTTAGGTTCCATGTAAAATGGAGTGTGTTTTCTCTAAATGACAATTCTTGTTGAACTCGACTCTTTTAAACCAAGCTTGTTCCTTTAGCACCTTAAGAAAAATGGACACAGACATTATTGCAGAAGTAATTTTTCTACCTACTATTTTATAAAAATAATATGAAACCTAGCAAGCAGAATTTTGGCCTCCCCAAGAAAGATATACTTTCGAGAAATTATGCTAACAGATGTATATATCATAGATTCTGGGCTTGATTCAGGATAGACTAATGCATGTGTATACAAATCTGTACATACGTGACTCAAATCTAGTATTCTAAGGAATAACAATTAAGAGGATAATCAACTATATCTCTCTAATGCTTTACTGGTTGCAAAGAGCTGAAATTTTAATCTACATTATAATAGACATCAAGAAGTCCAAAAGGAGAGATAGCAAATATAAAAACAATCTAAAATGGGTCCAACTTAAAAAGAAAAGAGATAAATAAAACCTGAAAAATTATGAGTTAAGTTCAATTTTAGTAAAGTCTGCAGGCAGGAACCTCCATCAGATTTGGGCCATTTCTAAAAATCAACAATTTAAGCTTATTCAGCCTCTGAGAGTAGAAGTAGGAAGTCCTTCACTTTGGGGCACTGTCTGTTTAAACCAACAAATCTCCATCAGGCTCTAGAGCAATTCTTTTGTAGAAAATTTGATTTCCATAATCCTTGTAGAACAGACATTTATATTTTAAATGAATTGGTTCATAATCCTTTGAAATTTACAACCTGCAGAGAGAGATTGCATCGCCGTGAATAACACACAGATATAAGACAGTACTGAGTTAGCGCCGTACCGCTGGGTGTCTCTGTCCTTTCTCCGCTGGTGCTTTTTAACCGAAATCTTCTCCTGTTGTTATTCTTATCAGCTGACGGTTCTTGAGGGGGATGTGGATGCATAATATGCAGACTGGCTGGTATATTTTCATATCAAAGAACAAAAAGCCAGAACAGAAAGTACTATATAGTTTGAAATCAACTCTAAATGTAATTATAGCCATAATGAGAATGTTCATGTATCATTTTGACAAAATGTAAAGCTGTATAAAAAACACAACTTATTTCTTTATAGGAACTAGCTATTTATTTATATTCCCAATATTAGAACTGTATCAGGTTCTCAAAACTACTAGTGCATTTTATTCATGTAATGTAACCATATAGAGAACTAGAAATAATTTAGATTAATGCTAATCATGCAACATGCTATATTAGAAAACAAAAAAATTACATCTATGGCCAATGCAGAGAAATTATTTTTTTCCTTTAGAAGAGTGTGGCCAGCTATCATTCAAGAAGCACTTAGAGGGTAATTTCCAAAAGAACCCTGGAGAAATGAGATCAATCGAAGAATTCTTAATTTCTGTAATAATAATAATAATATTCATAGCAGCAGCATTGTGTATTTACTGAATACTTACATTTTTGGCACAATACAATGTGCTTGACGGACTGTTCTCACTGAATCCTCAAACTGACCCTTTAAGGCAGCTGTTATTTCTTATTACTACTAGTGATAGTAGTAACTGTATCCTTACTGATGAGGAAACTGAGGCTCGTAGTTTTTAAGAAAACTGATCAAGGTCTCACAGACAGTGATAAAACTGGGACTGAATATCTGTTATTAATTTCCTCATCTCAGTTTTATATTCCAATGGAGATACAGTCTCTAACAGTGATCATTAATTTCTAAATCAAATGAACCCAAGTGCCTCTCCCCTTTTCAACGCTGATAAAAGTCAAACCAGTAAAAGTGGACAAATTGACAGGGAGTGGTAAGCCTTGAGTTCTGATTTCCATTCTTTCCAATAACTAACAATTGCAAACAAATTGCAAATCACTTAGTCTGTTAACCCTGAACTCTCAATCTTATATAACTTGGGATAAAAGTCTTGTCTTTACTAATGGGGCTATTTTTTGTAACAGGGAGGGATAATAAAGAGCTCTTTACAAATGGAAGATTAATTAAAAGACAAAACTAAGAAAACTTAAAATGCACATGGAGTTTGCAAAATATAGCAATAATTGGATATTACATTTTATCACTAGTCATCAGAAAGTAAAAACACGGGGTACTATAGCAATGTAAAATAACAATAAATAGAATGATAGGTTCAAGAAGATTATATATACATACATATATATATGTATATATGGGAGAAGGCAATGGCACCCCACTCCAGTACTCTTGCCTGGAGAATCCCATGGACGGGGAGCCTGGTTGGCTGCAGTCCATGAGGTCGCTAAGAGTCAGACACGACGGAGCGACTTCACTTTCACTTTTCACTTTCACACACTGGAGAAGGAAATGGCAACCCACTCCAGTATTCTTGCCTGGAGAATCCCAGGGATGGGGGAACCTGGTGGGCTGCCATCTATGGGGTCGCACAGAGTTGGACACGACTGAAGTGACTTAGCAGCGTATATATATATATATATATATATATATATACACACACACACATATATATATATATATATATAAAAGCACACTATTCTAAACATATTTCAATATCTACCACTATTTTCATTTTTAAATGATAATTCTCTGAACTTAAGATCTAATCAAGAATATAACTATGAATTTCTTATTAACATTTCTCAGTGTTTTCACTAGCTATCAATCTTTATGCAGAATTCTTACCAAGAACAGGTACAGTCTGCTTTATTTGGCCGATATTTTCTTTATCTCTTTGTGCCTCAGACTCAGGTAACAGCAAGGTTGACATTTCTGTACTGTTAACACACTTCTCTACTGTAGACTGCTGGTGTGATCGGTTACTTTTAGACCCAATAGATCTTACTGTCTATAAGGAAAAAGAATTAACTTATATTTTAAAATACAGGAACTGCATTTATTTCTTGTAGAATCTACATAGAAGAAATAATAGTTGGACAAATAGAGTAAGTTTCAAAAAAAAAAAAAACAAAGGGAATGAGAACATTAAAAAGTTGGAGAGGGAAATTATGGTAGAAAATTAGAAAGAAATGGAGGGATAAATATAATGTGACATAAAACAGAAGGCAAGCAAATCTTATAGAAACATAAGTTAAAATGTGCTTATTTGCCACACTCCATCTTTAGTAGGTAGGGGTTGAAATGAAAATCACTGTGTATGTCAGATACTCAGAGGAAATTAAAGATAAAACATTTAAGAATCTGTTCATTGTAAGGTATCTGGTGATGATCCAACTCCTTTTTGAAGGAGACCACAAAATGTGCTCACATATATTTCTCTTTAAGTTTTGTGAACATATTTAATGAAAAGAATACTCAAAAGTGTTAACTGTGTTGACATGACAGAAAGAAAACAGTTCTGGGGTCTTCTAAAATCCAGAATTTCTGTTCCAAATTTATTCAAGACTTATGCTTTTGGCATGTAGTCTCTCTGCCTTCCTTTTCCCCTCTGAATGGGAGAAAACCCTTCCCCTTCCATACCACCCATGTTTAGATAAGCTCTTCAAACCTTGCTCCTACCTCATTGGATAGCCTCATGTTATTTCTTCTGCCAGAGAGTGGAGGTGGTCCAAGAACTTTGGATCCAAAGGCAATATGACAAACATCTTGATGTTTACTGTTGCGCGTGCTAACTGTTCCTCTGTTAATGAACTGATCTGTTTTGTAAAAGGAAGGTAATAATAGTCCATTAATGGCTGTAATGGCAAACAGTAGGTTGCAGTATTTCTGAAAGTACAATCGAGGGGACATATGATCTGAATCCTCCCCGCTTTAACCCACCCACCTTCCCAGGGCACTTACAAAAGCACAGATATGAGGTCCAACATCAGATCTATCAGATCTGCATCTATCAGATAAGCACTCAAGAATCAGAATTTTCTTGGGGAGTCTAGAAATCTATAATCTTCACAGGTTCCCCCAAGTGGTCTTTGTGCTAAGTGTCTTATGAGAACCACTACCACAAATGCTTTTCCTCATAAAAAAAAGAGAAAAGGAAGTTGATGAAAAATATTGTTTTTTCTCTTTAAGGAAATAATTAAAATAAAACTAACTCAACTGAACAAGTATTTCAGCACTCAGGCATTTCCTAGAAGTTTTCAGTGACACAAAATAGACAATACACATTGCCTGCCCTCATGGAATCTGAAGGGAAGTGATAGTATAGGTAAACAGGGAGCTTTACCTTTAAATAAGGAAGACCAGTGAGAATGAAGAGGAAGTGACTTCTTGAATAAACCCTGAATGAATGGTAAGATCTCAAGAATAAGAGATATATAGGCTAGTGGCTCAGATGGTAAAGAATCTGCCTGTAATGCAGGACATGCATCCCTGGGTCGAGAAGATCCCCTGGAGAATGGTACGGCAACCCACTCCAGTATTCTTTCCTGGAGAATCCCATGGACAGGCCAGTCCGGCAGGCTACAGGCTATAGGGTGGCAAAGAGTCGGACACGACTGAAGCAACTTACCACCATGTGTCCAAGGCAGAAGAAAGTAACTGAATAAAGGCATGAAAGAATAAAAGAGGAAGGTATGGTTGGGGAATAATGAAATCACCAGCCTAGCTGGAAGAATAGGGTTGGGTCACAATGAAAAGGGCCTTAAAATGATAAGAGCCTATTCTAAAACTGGCAGGCAATCACAGAATAGGTAGGGAATCACTGAGGTTTTTGATTCAGGGAATCATCTCCACTGAAATGCTGGAGAGAGTGTGGGGAAAAGGGAACATTTCTACACTGCTGGTGGGAATGTAAATTGGTGCAGCCACTGTGGAGAACAGTATGTGCTGCGCTTAGTAGCTCAGTTGTGTCCAACTCTGCAGCCCCATGGATTGTAGCTCACCAAGCTCCTCTGTGCATGGGGATTCTCCAGGCAAGAATACTGCAGTGGTTTGTTGTGCCCTCCTCCTCCTTCCCAACCCAGGGATCGAACCCAGGTCTCCCACACTGCAGGCAGATTCTTTACCACCTGAGGCACCAGGGAAGCCCATGGAGAACAGTGTGAAGTGTCCTTAAAATACTAAAAATTGAACTACCACATGATCTAGCAATCCCACTCCTGGACGTATACCCAGAGAAAACCATAATTCTAAAAGATACATGCACGCCAATGTTCACTGCAGCACTATTTATAATAGCTAGGACATGGAAGCAATCTAAATGTTTATCAGCCAAGGAATTGATAAAGATGTGGTACATATACCCAATGGAATGTTTCTCAGCCATAAAAAGTAACACTCTCGCCACTTGCAGAGACGTGGATGGACCTAGAGAGTGTCACACATAGTGAAGTAAGTCAGAAAGAGAAAAACAAATAAAATATAATATTACTTATGTGTGGAATACAGAAAAATGTACAGATGAACTTATCTGCAAAGCAGAAATAGAGACACAGATATAGAGAACAAAGGTAAGGATACCAAGGCGGGGGGGATAGGATGAACTGGGAGATTGGGATTGATATATACACACTACTATGCATCAAGTGAAGAGGAACTAAAAAGCCTCTTGATGAAAGTGAAAGAGGAGAGTGAAAACTAAGATCATGGCATCTGATCCCATTACTTCATGGGAAATAGATGGGAAAACAGTGGAAACAGTGGCTGACTTTATTTTTTGGGGCTCCAAAATCACTGCAGATGGTGACTGCAGCCATGAAATTAAAAGATGCTTACTCCTTGGAAGGGAAGTTATGACCAACCTAGATAGCATATTAAAAAGCAGGGACACTACTTTGCCAACAAAGGTCCATCTAGTCAAGGCTATGGTTTTTCCAGTGGTCATGTATGGATGTGAGAGTTGGACTGTGAAGAAAGCTGAGCGCCGAAAAATTGATGCTTTTGAAGTGTGGTGTTGGAGAAGACTCTTGAGAGTCCCTTGGACTGCAAGGAGATCCAACCAGTCCATCCTAAAGGAGATCAGTCCTGGGTGTTCATTGGAAGGACTGATGCTGAAGCTGAAACTCCAATACTTTGGCCAACTCATGCGAAGAGCTGACTCACTGGAAAAGATCCTGATGCTGGGAGGGATTGGGGGCAGGAGGAGAAGGAGATGACAGAGGATGAGATGGTTGGATGGAATCACCAACTCGAAGGACATGAGTCTGAGTCAACTCTGGGAGTTGGTGATAGACAGGGAGGCCTGGCGTGCTGTGATTCATGGGGTCGCAAAGAGTCAGATACGACTGAGTGACTGAACTGAACTGAACTGAACTGATTCTTACAATTGATAGCTAATGAGAACCTATTGTATAGCACAGGGAACTCTACTCAGTACTCTGCAGTGACCTAAATGAGAAGGAAATCTGAAAAAAGAGGGGATATGTGCATATAGCTAATTCACTTCTTCGTACAGCAGAAACTAACACAACATTGCAAAACAACTATACTCCAATAAAAATTAATTTAAAAAAAGCTTTTAGTCCAACATAAGGAACATCTTTCTTTAATTAAAGCATGTCTAGTTGTTGTGGTGGTGAATTTTCTGTCATTTTGAAGGTGTTTGAACATAAGTCTGGAAAGCTATTTTGCATATTATAAGGCAGATTCTCTAATTTCTATTTTTAGCCTAGTTCTCTCTTCTGAGAGTCACTTGTTCTATCCAGTGGCCTTCTTGATCAGCTTCTCCTCAATGTATCAAAGACACCTAAAACCAAGAATCTGGTTTAATGAATGGCATCATAAAGAATTCAGGTTGAAATGTCAAAATCTTGATGTGAACCTTGATCGAAGAGACCATCATCCCTCTCCCGGATGATCACAAAGCCGTTCAACTGATCTACCATGTTCACTCTGGCTCCCTGTCCCATGGTCTCTCCAAAATGTAGCCAAAATGGTCTTATATCAACATCTGATTGAATTATTCCTCTTTGTCACTTAAAACTTTTCATTGGCTTCCCTGCCACTCTTAGGATTAAGAAGAAAGCCCTTAACATTGCCTGCAATAACTTACATGTTCCAGTTTCAGTTTAGCCTTAACACCTTCCATCTTCTGCTCTGGCCTCAGTTCTTCCTACCTATCAGAGCATTCATGCACGCTGTTGCCCATGGCAGGAAGGATATTCCTTCCCCTCTTGGCCCTCATGTTTCAGATCATGTGTCACTTTCTCAGACTAGTCTTCCCAGACCCCTCTGATTAGGGTACCCAAATTAGGTACTCCCATAAGCTTTCCCTCACAGAATGTGTCAGACTTGTGCTTTCACATGTGTTTATGGGATTCTCTAATGATGTATATTTCAGTAGATATAAACTCAGCGGTCTGCTTTGTCATCCCTGATTTGCTAGCCTACTGCTTGACACAGAACAGACCTTTGCTGAGCAAACCAAATGAATCATAAAGTATAACAGGTCAGAAGGGAAGCTGGATTAAATGACTAAATATTTCTAACTACTGTTAAAACTTATTTTTAAGAAAAAATCTACCTGAGAGTTTTATGTGTGAATTGAGGAGGACGACTATACAGAACAACTGCCAAGGTGCGGGGGATGAAAAAGAAGGGTCAACAATGACCAAGACATAGATACTTACATGAACTGAGTGGCTTTCAACAGCTGCAGTGCTATGGCACCAGAATCAGATGCCTGACTCAGCTTACATGTGAAATTTCCCAGTGTTAGCAAATGGACTTGGCTATGTGTGCAACTGCATCTTTTCAGTCATTTACAAACAACCATTTGGAGTCAATAAAAATATTGCTAGTTTCTTAAGATCAGCAAAAGAAAGAAATGACATTCAAATTCTAGGCCAGTTGGAAAAATCTATTTCAGACTTATCATTTGTACCTTCTGTGACCAAACAGAACAAATCCTAGACTACTGAATTTGTTCTCAAATGTGGATTTTTCCAGAAAGAAGAGCCACTGAGAGTCCCCAAGGGGTATATGGGATATGGCATAGGCCTATATGGGAGTTTTCAATACCAGAATAGAAGCTTTTTTTCTTTTTTTAACTTCCAATCATAGAAACCATTTGCTTATTGGCATATCTTTCTGTTCAAACATCATACATGTGCAGTTTTCTTTGATTTTTTCATATTCTTCATCTATATACAGGTTTCCCCTGCCCCCACAACAATTTAAGTTTCTTTGAGTAGAAAGACCATTTATCTGGTACTCCATGTACACTCCTCTGCTGAGCCCAGCAGAGAACATGGTAGACAATGAATAAATCTCACCAAAATTGTGGATAGTATCCAAGATTAAAAGATAAACTTTTGGGGGGAGGGAGTATCTTAAAAAATTATACTGTCACAGTTCCAGCTATAAATTCCTAAATACCTTGAATTTCTCAGAGGAATCTCTTGCTTAGCAGTGGACAGCCAATGGCTATTAAAACTATAATTAAGCTTGATATAATTCCTTAAAGCACAGAGAATAGGATGTATTTTATAAGAGAGTCTACTATAGGATTTCTTTAAAGATCAATCTACCACTGTGTGGTTAAATGGATAGCTATTTTTTAAGTTTTACAAATTCTAGCGTAAATTTTTCCCTCCACAAAGCAAAGTATACAATACTCCACCATTTAGTTATTTCTTTAATTAGCAGGCATTTAACAATTTATTAGTACAATTAACACATACACATTCTTAAAGCCTGTTTCACTTTAATGATTCTGTTTATAATCATATAAAAATTGTCATAATTATCCATGTAAACA